GCAGAGCTTTTCAAATCTGACCCGCATAAGCCTAGAAAGTGGCCCGTGGATCAATACAATGGTTTTGTATTAATAATCCTTTTAGGCTGAGGCTGGTGACAATCCCTATTTTTAATTCTTTGGCTCCAGGAAACTAATTTGAATAGCCCTAAACTAAAGGAAGACGGTGTACGTGATGGAATGGCTGAAGTATATGTACAAGATATCTGTGACCACATACAATACAAAATGTTCCGGTAAAAGTTAAGCATCCATTTTTAAGCTGGCGGGGCATCTGTCACATGATGCTGGACTCATATTTTTATAGACCAATCGGCAGGCTGCTTGTGGGGTGGTTAACATCTTGTTGGCTGTTCTTACCTGGCACCCACGTTAGGCTGGGTTGACATAAAATATGCCAGGGAAAACAAGAATATACAGTAGTCCCATAGTGTTTTCTCAGTTACGTTCAGACAACATTCATTCATTCAGTCTTTCCTCTTCTACCCTGGGCTGTGGAAGGACCATATGGTTTATGCTGACAAAATCCTGCACATGGAAACCATGGTGTAGCGGCTAGACCAGTGTTTCCCCACCGGGTGGGGGAGGGTTCGAAAATGAACTCGTCGAAGAGTTTTAGTCACATCAGTGGCATACAACTTTTAGAGAGGCTTAGATGGGGCATGCCACAAAAAATGGTTAGGAAACACTTAATTAGGCGCTTGCCTGCAGATCTGAAGGTCATGGGTTCAAATCCAAGTGGAGCTGACAGAAAAATTATCTTGGCTCCCAATTCCCATTCCAATTTGATAAACAAAAATTACGAGCTTAGTTCTCTTTGAGCCGCCCGAGGGCCTGCTATATTGAGGACTGTTTCTTTGCTATCTTAGATGAATTTTATTTATTTGAGGCAATCAGTTTCACCTGAGTTTGTTTGTCCATGTAACATGTTCAACGTGGTCTGGCTTAGCGGCTTTTGATAGGGCTGTTTTTTCTGGCGTTTGGGAGGGAAGTCCGTTAGTCCTGAAAAGGACCAACAGTTTGCCTGGAACGGGTGGGTGGGACTCCTGTGGGTCTGGGCTCCCAGGTCTGCCCAGCTTTAAATGGGTACCAGGTCTCGGGAAGTAAAGGTGGCCAGTGGGATGATGACCACATCACCCAGTTAGTGCTGGTCTATCAAATATAGGTACAGCACTTTATGCCCAATATACCCGAAGGTGTGAAAAAAGGTCCATTACTTTACTAGCACACTGTGATAATGTAGGCTACTAAGGACATTCAGATAATTATAGTCCACAACAGTGAGGTTCCAAATTTAAACAAAAAAACAAAAGCGGACTCCATATACAGATATGTTACATATTTAGGAAAGGCACTGAGCATAATTATGTAGCGGTACAAAATAAATGGTAGACTTTAACTACACACACCAGAGAAAAGTTACATTTGGTGTACATACACGTGAAACATGATATTTTATGCATACATCATGAGCTATGTTACATTCTGTGCACATACATGTGAGACATTGTATCTGTATGCATACTTCCACAACTACATTACATTCTGTGCACATACATGTGAGACATTGTATCTGTATGCATACCTCCACAACTACATTACATTCTGTGCACATACATGTGAGACATTGTATCTGTATGCATACTTCCACAACTACATTACATTCTGTGCACATACATGTGAGACATTGTATCTGTATGCATACTTCCACAACTACATTACATTCTGTGCACATACATGTGAGACATTGTATCTGTATACATACTTCCACAACTACATTACATTCTGTGCACATACATGTGAGACATTGTATCTGTATACATATTTCCACAACTACATTACATTCTGTGCACATACATGTGAGACATTGTATCTGTATACATACCTCCACAACTACATTACATTCTGTGCACATACATGTGAGACATTGTATTTGTATACATACTTCCACAACTACATTAAATTCTGTGCACATACATGTGAGACATTGTATCTGTATGAATACTTCCACAAATACATTACATTCTGTGCACATACATGTGAGACATTGTATTTGTATACATACTTCCACAACTACATTAAATTCTGTGCACATACATGTGAGACATTGTATCTGTATGCATACTTCCACAAATACATTAAATTCTGTGCACATACATGTGAGACATTGTATCTGTACGCATACTTCCACAAATACATTAAATTCTGTGCACATACACAAATTTTCTAAATACACATGCATGAGAGAGAATTTGTGTTCTCCTGACAAACAAGCACTTCACCTGTACAAAGGCTATGGGGCACACTTATATCACAGCAGAGATTATGCCTGAAGGTTGTCCAGAGTTTTCTCCATGGGCAAAGTGTAGCTGGGCAGGAAAGTTCTCCATGCTGAAACGTCCAGTAGATGCCCCCCCCCCCCCCCACCCCTTCCCAAACAACAATGTGTCCAATCTTTCAACATCTGTCTCACACCTGTGAATGCCAAATTCTTCAATTTCCCCTTCATAACCGGTTCATCTTTCAATGTCTCATTCACATCTGTCCAAACCTGATTCTCCAATTTCCCCTCATAACCATTCAATGTCTCTCTCACATTCATGATTGCCAAATCCTTCAATTTCCCTCTTATAACCATTCATCTTTCAATGCCACCACCACAATTGTTTAGTAATGTACCACCAAAAGTGCCAACACCTACACTTTGTCAATGAATAGTCGCCCACAACTGCCAATGAGTAATCTTTTGTCAGTTGTAGTTGTTATTTCTAGAAGAGCACATTAAGACAACAAATGGCATTTATTCACAAGAAAATCCCTCCAAATGCTATTTTAAGTAACTAACTATATTCATTTCCAGTTATCTTAACTCTTTGAGTCCCAAGGAACGCATCATATGTTCCTACCTAGAAGCCCAATGAACGCATGATGCGCTGATTTTATGACTCTCTGTACTACCCCCTGGGCCTGTGATGCTAAACCCCCTGGGACTCAAAGAGTTAAGCTCTGCTCTGGCGCAAACAGAAGTCAATGCCGTTTCTTGGGGACAAGTCAACATGCCAGGTAAGTGGCATTTATGGGATTGAGTCACAGACAGAAATGCCCAGTTTTGGAAATGTCGGCTTCTCTGAAGACAGGTTAAGTAATATATTTGTGAATCACACAGTGCAGAGCTAATCAACTGCATGCCAAATCTGGCCCGTGGAGGCACAGCAAGTGGCCCGCAGATCATTGCATTTCACTGTATATTAAATGATCTTCCTAAGATGGGGCTCTGGCCTGGGACGATCTCCAGTTTCAAATTGTTTGCCCCTCTGTAAACTTCAATGAATAGCTCTGATAAAGTGTATTTTACAAACACATTTTGTAATAGTTTTAAAATATACTGCTGCAATCCTGAAGTATATTTTACAACTACATTAAGTAGTATAGTGGTGGAAACTGAAGTACACTAGTGTAGCCAATGGTGCATTGATGACCATATTAAATAGTTTACATTTCACATATTATACAACCACATTAAGTAGTAGAAGCTGCTGAGGGGTCTTAGCTAAACACTCGCCTGCGGATCCAAAAGTCCTGGGTTCAGGTCCGGACAGTACCAGATTTTTGTTGATAATGACGCTCTATAGAATTTAGGTCTAGCCATACACGATTAATATGCCCAAAGACATGGAAAGGGGTCCTTTACTTTACATTAAGTAGTATACTGTTGTATATTACACAACTATGTTAAGTTGTATATTGTTGGACCATCTAGTATACTGTTGGACTCTGTGGTAAGTTTTACAACCACACTGAGTAGTATGCAGTTAGACTATGTAATATTGTTGAACCTTGTAGTATATTCTACACAACACCAAGTAATACACTGCTGGATTATGTAGTCAACTTTACAACTGCATTTATGAGAAGGTTGAAGCTAGATTCCACGTGCTGCAGCCAAGACAGTCATCAGGTTATACAGGCACAGGAGTATAGGGTTCGCCCCTTTAGGAGTATAGGGTCCCCCCTTTAGGATTTTAGGGTCCGCCCTTTAGGATTTTAGGGTCCCCCCTTTAGGATTTTAGGGTCCGCCCTTTAGGAGTATACGGTCCGCCCTTTAGGAGTATAGGGTCTGCCCTTTAGGAGTATAGGATCCCCCCCTTCAGGAGTATAGGGTTCGCCCCTTTAGGATTTTAGGGACCGCCCTTTAGGAGTATAGGGTCCGCCCTTTAGGAGTATAGGGTCCGCCCTTTAGTATAGGTTCCGCCCCTTCAGGAGTACAGGGTCATCAAAGTCTACACCATGTCCCAGGAAACCAACCAGGAAGGCTAACCGGGTGAACAAATGCCAGATAAAGTCAGATGTTTCAGCCACAGAAAAAAGCAAATATTGCAGCTATGCAGTAAACAGGCAAAACTCAATTTTGCCGTCAGAGAAACTAACTAACATTCCCAGAAACTATACATTTTACATTTGTAAAAGTCAGTAATTTGAGGCCAACAACTTCTGGCACATCTCGTGTCATATAGTTGCCCTATTGTAAGTGCCAGCTGGCACTGAAACAAAATCTCCTTTCCGTTGTCCTCAGCCATGCAGTCCTTCAGAAGAATCATATCCCTGAAGATTGTTCCATACGAAACTAGAGGCATAATATCAACCCTATCTAGGTATCTCTTTAAATCAGTCATCTGTAGTTCCAACTTCATGGGCAAATGGGACACCCAATGGGTGCTCCTTCCTTGTACCAGCGAAAACCACACAGCATTAAATGCATCAGGCAGCTGTCAGAAGTACCAACACAGTATGCCACTAGAATTGCAGTTCATCATTAATGGAAGCAGCAGTTTCAACAAATCTTCAGAAGAAAGACGAAGAAAGTCCTATAACGAGTGAAGGGTGGATATGTAAACAACAAGATGCTTTCCGCAACAAGTTTGTCTTTCGATGACAAGAATATGCCAGATTGGTCACTCTGCAGGTTGTCTTTTCTGATAGATCCCATTTAACGTGTGAACAGTGTCCAGAACCAGAGAATCGAAAATGGATTCAGCCAATGACATCTTCAGGTTCAGTTCATCATCGTCATAATCAACCCATCCCAGCTCCTCTTCTCCCAGCTCTTGGGTGAGTATTGCATCGACAAGATCCTTCTTCTTACGGATGTTCCACTTGTTGACTGTGTTGTATCTACGGGAGCCATTCAGGCCGAGTAGCTGGAAGACTGCTGATTGGACAAGCGGTTGTAATCCCTGAATGGTTGTCGGGGGGCTGGTTTTGTGGAAGTATTTCTGGGATCTGTGTTTTGATTTCTGCCACACTGGGACATCAGACTGCAGAATAAAGAGCAGAAAACAAATGTAAGCACTTATACTACAATATAGTCAACAGAACTAGAACTAAGAAGCTTAATGAGGGAGGGAAAGGACTACAAGAGCAGCTGGTCAATCTTTGTTAGTCATTTTTCAGCCTAATGTTCTCCTCGATTTACAATCAAGTTTCGTTCTGACAGATAGGTTGTAAGTTGAACGTCATAAGTCGAGTTTATATTTTTCAATATTATTTTCATTCAAAGGGTTTATACAAATTGTACATAAAACACAAAAATTCAGTGTGTGTAGTTATTGTACATAATGTGAAAAGTCCATAATATATACTCCATTGTACAAACTTTCTGACCCCTACCTATGTAGCTTTCTTTCTTCCTTTACTACACGTGTGTGTGTGTGTGTGTGTGCGTGCGCGCACGCGCGCGGTTGTAAGTGCAGATAGTCGCACGTCAAGGAAAAGGTGTATTCAGTTTTTAAATTATCAGCCACTCAGCCTGACTGCTGTCACCTCTGTTTACATCACAAACAGTTAACAGCTATTAACAAAAGTAATTCAGTCACGTGCAGCTTTGGGAGAGAACTAAACAAATGCTAGTGAATCAGGAGTTGATATCCCCGTGTGGGTTTTGGGGTCCCAATTTTTTGGGGGGAAAATGGACCCACTGCCACCTTAAGAAACATAAACTTGAGACTAATCTGGGGTGTTTCCCTCAAAGTCGGTGTGAATCTGCCTGAGAGGCCAGGAACCAACAGTCTGCACATAAATAAGCTAGAACTGTAAAACTGCTGTGCATGCAAAACAAAAGCTCTGGAACAAGACTAAAGCCCATAAGTGAATGAACAATCACAACTTTCTGCCAGTTAACAGCTGGAGAGAAACCCCTAAATAGTTGACTTTTGCGACATGCCCGTAAGGGAGCAGTGGGTCTATTCTGTTTTCTCTCCACAATGGGGCCTCAGAACCCATACGGAGAAGCAGGAGACACTAAAGTAAAGCTAGGTCTTGGTACAACCCCAGGGCCTCAGTTCACACCATCTAAGAAGGCTGAATAGGGCATCCAGGATTTGTATCCACTTGACCCACCGCTTTTTACTAAAGCCTTTCATAAAATGCTACTCAAAAAGGATTTGCTGAAATCGTATGTGTTAGGTCAAAAGGCGCAGATATCACAGACTAGCTATAGACTACAACACAATAGGCCAACCACTCTTTTGAAGGCAAATAAAGAAAATTACAAGGAGAGGACCCCAGCATCACGTAACCAGGGAAAAAAAACAACAACAGTACAAATATTATTTTGGTGAGTAAATTTGTACAATTGTTCATACTCTGCCAGCATTGCTGCATATCAGATCTACTTCTCAAGGCTTCCAACTACTGAGGGATTTCTATAATATACTTTTGTATATAAACTTTTCTTTTTTTAAACATCTTTTTATCTGTATCTGCAAAACAATTGCAAAGTATTTCTCAGTCAAAAAGGGTATAGGGATTTAACATTATCAGGAACCAGTTAGAAAAAGAGAGAATTAAGAGAATCAAAGGGGACAAAAAAAAAGGGGTGGGGGGGGGGGGGTGTGTGTGTGTGTGTGTTTGTGTGGAAGGAGACAGACAGAAAGATTGAAGATCCAAGAAGAGAGATAATGGATGGCACAGAAAGGAAAGAAAGTAAGACAGATAAAGTCAGAAAACTTTCTGAAGGCACCAAATAAAAACTACTGGCTAATGTCACGTTTAACTCATAAAAACCAACCAATCAATGACCTTACCTTGTCATCACTGTTGTAGATGTCCCGAATGATCTCCCCTGTCAAATCAAACAGCATCATCTTCCAGCTCCGTCTGCTCTGTACAGTCAGCCTGTCTGAACTGGTTTCATCTTCTGCCTCCAGCAGGAAGTCCGCAGGCACTTCCACACCTTCCAGAGACTCCCCGAAGCGCCTCTTCTCCCAGTAGACCTCGACAGCCCGACTGACAATCGGAGCAATTTCTTCCCTTGTGTGAGGAACCACCGGACTGATTTCTTCAGGCTGAGGGATGTTTCGTTCTTAAAAACAAGAAGGCCAAAAAAATATTTTAAAAATCTGGTCTTCTTTTTCTTACTGTTAACTAGCTGTAAACTCTGGCGGAATATTTTAGAACAGATGAAGAGGGAAAAAAAAAGATAGTAAAGAAGGATAAATAAATATATGACAAAGGTAATCAGGAAAAATATACTTTAGGTAATTTCTAAGACTTCAAAGTCTGCTTTTATTAGATGCAGAACAAAAGGCTTAAAAAAAAAAACAACTAACATCTTTAGTGACCATTAGAAGTGACAAAAAAAAAAAATGAATATAAATAGGAAACACAATGAGAGAAAAGAAACACAGTCGCTGCAAATATTTCATAGACAAACACTGTACAATTTCCTGCCAGGTGTATTTAGCTGTATTTTGTCAGCTGTGTTACTACACAATGACCTCAACATATAATGAAGCACAAAAATGGAGAACATTCCATTAAAATACAAATCTGATTTACCACACACAGAATAGGCAAATGCTGAGACTAGCCGAAGCTTTAACCATAAAAATGAACAATCCTCCCCCTTACAAAAACAGAAGGAATTCGTTATGAAACTGAAGTTACCGTGTTAAATCCTGAACTCCAGAGATTTAACAAACAATGTATAGAAAAAGACCATTTCTATTTCAGTGGAATTTAATCAATTTTTGTGCTTGATGTAACTTGGTGTGCTTGGCAATAAATTCTGCAATGTACTGTTTGTGTCTGCATTATTTAAATCTCACATTTGAGTTTTCTAGTTAACCCTTTTGATAGCTAAAGAGAATAACTGTCGTCCCCATGTGAGATGCAATTTTTTGTTATTTGAAGCCCCACCCTGGCTTCTACCAGGGCCCTAAATATAGCCGGGACATAGATATGGCCTAGCCATAAATATGGCCTAAAGGCTGAAAAGGGTTTCTGGGACCTCTCCATGGATGATCCTCATCCATTCCATGGATGATCCTCATCCATCCACATGGTGGCACTTTGTGTCACCGGGTGTTTATCGCTTGTGTGATGTCCTGGTGGGGTACAACTACTTAACTAAAGAAAAAATTATACTTATCGAGATGGCAATTAACTCTTTAAGGCCCAAGCAACGGTGTGATCGTTGTTTGAGAAGTTCCATTTTGCCCAAACAATGCTGTCATCGTTAATTGTGTGTCCTGTATATTGTGCTTCGCACATGCTCCCATACTAGTTTCTAATGTTTGGAGGTATGATTAAACTATTCTTTAAAGTCACTCTGCCGAAATCCCTTTAGTTTCATTTTTTAGCCTAAGAAACACGTGCATAATTTGATAGAAATAACAGCGACATTTTTTTCAACATTGCATTTTCGAAGTATGTTTTTGAGTGCCATGAATACCAATGTTCCAACCACAAGTACAGGTCGCAGAATGCGTCTTTTTGCGGCCAAAGCTCAGAAGTTGTTTCAGTCAGATGTTTTTAATTGTGATAATGATAATAACAATTTAGGTTTTCGGAAAGTGATTCAGACAGTGAATCCTCACGAGCGAAGCTGAGCGATCAGCTGTTCGGAATCTAGCAATTCTGATGAGTTTATTACACAGACAATGTCCGATACTACCGTATTTATGGTGTAAGAGAAGGAAAGTGCTCTAAACAAATAGATTGTACTATACTATGGCTGAGCTACATTGAAATCATTGCAGCTACATTCTGTAAATAACTGTACAAAGTAAACAGTAAATAGTGTGTGCGCAATGGCTCATTTTTCTGCCATTTTTTCTCTGAAATGTTACTCAGCACTCTGTGAGAACTATGAGCCCCTGAGTGTTAAACTAACCCAGAAACGTATCATAACTTTGGAATATGTTAGGGAATTGAACAAACTTTGAAGTTTTGTTCTCAAATTTGGATATTCACTACTCTTGTGGCTGCAAAACCATGGTAAGTGAAGAATTTGTTTGTGAAATGTTGTCCTTGTGAATTTAACACCTGCTGAATTCTTCTTTCCTACTAACTATAACAAAATTAAACAAACACTTATCATCAGATTCAAAATGTACATTCATTTCTCTTTTAAAAAATATATACTGTTATAGGGATTAGAAGTATATTACAATCTCTACAGCCTTTCTTGTACACCCGCCCCTCTGCCATTTTTGTAAAGGATAATTAATGTGGGCCAAGTCTGTCAAAATTCATGGTCCTGAAAGAGTTCAACAATATGGATATATTCACCATATCCACTGAAACAGCAATTAGGTAAGATGGATATATTCATCATACCAACCTAAGGGGTTAAGTATGTATGCTTTTGTATGTTTGTTGATAAAGACTTGTTGAATAGTTTACCTATGTGTGTGTCTTTCTGTTCACTAAGCTATCTAGTTTTATTCTGCAGATATGAATTGTTTATGAAGAAGAGCTTTGGTGTCCAGTACTCACCAAGTGGATATGGAGGTGGAGGTCTTGCCGTGGACTGTTCAAAATCTAGGTCATCGTCAATATACTCTCCAAACAGCCCTGTTAGTTCATCATTCAGCTTGTTACGCTGTTTGGAAAAGAAAAAAAGTAGAAATCATTATTTATGGGTAATGTGGTCAACATCATGCCAGCCGCCTTTACCTCCCATATTACCTGGTACCCATGTCATGCTGGGTCAACCTTGAAGCCTTTTTCCTGAAAGCCTTTTTCTGTTTAATGCTTACCAGCAGAAAGTCCTGGCTGTTACACTTCTGGATTTTGGTCTTGCCCCAGAGTTTTGCGTGCATATCCGTTTTACAAATGGGGCTTATTTGAATGGAGACTGTTGGTTCATCACCTCTCAAGACAGTCGCATTTCAATTTTGAAGGAAATCCCCTGAATTATTAACTTTTTATACCTGCTCATTAGGAGCCAGTGGGCCTGTCCCCCCCCCCCCCCCCCCCCCCCCCCCCCCCCCCCCGAACCCATACTGAGAAACCTGGATGCCAAGGTAAATTTAGAAAGAAACCAAAATCAGCCTCTGCAGATTTGAACCCTAGATGCTCAGGCCAGCAGACCTACTTTCACAATGAGGGGCTTAGACTACAAGACCATCGGAACAGGCTAAGTTCAACGTGCAGAAGATATAATATGAAATACGACTAGAACTGAAGCAATGCAGGTCAGCAGAACTCCTAGTCCGCTGCATATAGCGGTACTTTGAAACAAGTTAAACAATTTAAATATTTATGAAGTATATTTTCGGAGGATGGGAGAATAGATCAGGAAATAGAAACAAGACACCGTTCTGTTATTAAGACATCCTAACATAAGTATAACCGGCAAGAAACAAATTATAACCAGCATATTCATACCAACAATATGATACCACTTAGTGCCTAAGGAAAGCCAATTTAGCCACCGAGACAAAGTTAGGAATGATATTATCAGACAGACACCATGCAGCAAATTCATAGAGAAACAGAAGATCAAATGGTTTGGTCATCTTGTTAGAATGCAGCCTGAATAACTATCAACACAACTGACACACATAAAAAGATCTAATGTAAAAACAAGAGGTTGCCCTGGCAGAACATGGACTGATGACATTAAATATCTTCTACATCGACACAGAATGACAGTAGCCATTGTTAACCAGCAAGCAATGTATCACAAACTGTTCCTCCCCACCATACTTAACAGCAACAGAGGAAACTGATGATAATGATGATGACAGATAATCTCACACTTAAAACAGTAACAGAAAAACTTACATCTTTCAAAGAAGGGGAATCACTGGGAACAGGCGAGCCAGGTCTTTGAATGGGATCCAGGGACAGACCAGAGTCGTTGTCCTGAATCTTGCCCTCATCAGCGCTGTCATCCAGGTCAGACCTGAAGCTGTGGTCAGCAAACTCACCATGGAGGAGGATGTTGTTGTTGTTGGCCAGCAGTTCTGTGATGCTGGGGCTCACCTTGCTGCCCGTGACCACCTTCCTTTTCCTGACCTCAAAAATGTGTGTGATAGCGTCATCCAGCAAAGTCTTGATGACGCTCTCTGTTGTCTTAAATGTGGTTTCCTGAGGCTGGGGCTTGTCTCCTGGTGGACTGGTTATTTGCTCTTCAGATGTGAGAGTCCTGGAGACTGTTGGATGTTCTTCTAATGTAAAAGGTTTGGTTTCTGTTATATGATCTTCTAACATAACAGACTTGGTTTTCGTTGTGTGTTCTTCAGATGTGAGAGTTTTTGTTACTGTTGTATGTTCCGATGCAGCGGAACCTTTTACTGCTGTACTATGTTCTGCCGTCGTACTCCCAGTTACTGTGGCATATTCTGACGTGGCAGCCTTTGCTACTGCGGTATGTTCTAAACTGGCAGCCTTATCTACTGCGGTATGTTCTAAACTGGCAGCCTTATCTACAGCGGTATGTTCTAAACTGGCAGCCTTATCTACTGCGGTATGTTCTAAAGTTGCAGCCTTATCTACTGCTGTTTCTTCTAGAGATGTGGTAACTCTGGTTACTTCTAAAGCTTCTTGAGAAGTAGGTGTAGCCACTGCTGTGTTTTCCTGAGATATGGATTCTGTTGATGCCTGCAAGAATCTGATAGTTTCAGGAACAGTATGGGCAGCTTTCACCGCAGGTTTTGGCAAAGTTGGGGGAGGGGATTTCTTTGATACAATCCTTCTCATTGTTTTCAATGAATCTTCAACCAATGATGCTGCCAGATGGTCAGTGATAGCATTCACAGTCAAAGTCATGTCTTTCTTTGGGGGCATAGCAGTGGATAAATGTCCCTCTTTCTCTTGATCTGTTGGTTCTCCTGCACTAGGTAAAACAGTTGTAGAAGGAAGCAAATCAGCATTTGAGGGTACAGGAGCAGGTCTGCTCCCATCAAGTTTGTTCTCCAAGTGTGAATCATCCTGATCGGTTGAGAATGACTCCTCCACACTTATCTCTTCTACAATTTCAGAAATGTCAACTTTAGGCTGCACCCTGGCTGCCACAATGTCGCTTCCATTGACCATCACCCCATGATGTGCAGAACACGTGAAGTAACGCTTTCCTTCACACTGCCCATCTGAATCTCCATCTGCTGCATCTAACTCTACACCTGCCCAGATGCCTGGAGAGAAATCCACTCTACCCTTGTAGCGCAGCACCCCTGGCTGGCAGCCCCCAACCAAAACTCGGTCTCCCAAGGCAAAGTCAGCAAGAGGGTCTGTTACCAACAGCGAGGCATTCTCTTCTTCATTGTCAGGAACTGGAGTAGAAGCCATGTCTCTGGGTGTTGCAACTGGTGTCTTGTCTGCATCTTCTATCTGGTCATCTTCTTTATAATCCAGCAGGCTGAAAGATTTTTAAAAAGAGTATGTTTATGTCTGGGACAGAAAGTTAAGAGAAGTGTAGGTGATTAAACGTACAGGAAAGGCTGGAAAATTATCACTTCTTCTGTGTTCCCCCTTACAAGTGTGGTTGGCATATTTCAGCTAGACTGTGACATCTACCACCTTTTGGCCCAATACATCAGATTTCAGCAGAATCTAAATTAGTATGACGTGCATTACAAAATGCTTAAGGGGACAGTAAATGGGTCTATTTCTACACCTCTCCTTCCCCAATTAACAAACTTTAAAAACAACAACTGGCCCTGGAATCCATACAAGGAGATGTTGGAGTGCAACAATGGGAACCAATCCCAGTTGTCATCAAGAAGGAAGAAACTAGCTGAAATTAATAAATAAACTGAATGAAAAAGGAGGAATAAAGGCAAGAATGAAGGAGGGGGGAAAAACTATGAAGATCAGAAAAGCAAAGGCAAATTTTTAAAAAATTTATAAGAATGGATTGAGAATTATGATAAGAAGAAATCACAGGTGTCATAAAGAAAGAACTGAAAAGAAAGGACACACAGAAAAACAAAATAAAATGTAAGAATGAAAAGAAAGAAATCATGTAAGAAATAAAATGAGAAAGAAAAACAAATGATGGAAACAATAAAGATACTTAAAAATGCAGGTCAAACAAATAAAAGATGGAATGAAAGAAAAAAGCAATGAAGGTTTAAAAAGAAAAAAGACAATATAAATGAGAATAAAATCGTAAGTAAATTAAAACAATACTTGATGTGCAGTATGGACAGCCAGTTTCTAAGCAATAATGGACTTATTTATATTTAGCCTCACCTGTCAATCATGTCCTGGTACAGTAAACCAGAGCGAGGTGTATGTTTCTCAGAAATGGATGGAAGACTCGCCGAAATATGTTCACTAATATTATCCTCATTGACATCTCGGTGGACACTCTGAGGCCTGGATGGAACTTTGTCAGATCTAAAGCTGACGACATCCTCCTCCTCTTCATCCTCAGGACTGTAGGAGATACTTGCCAATGACCGTTCACTTGACGGCCTGGAGCTGCCTTCAGATTTGACAGATGTGTAGTAGGAATTGACATGCGACTCGTTTTCACTGTCAGATTCCTGGATTCCAGTAGTCACAGTCTGTGAAAGTGATGCAGTCTCCTCAACTCTGGCATTCACATTTTGTGGAGAGGTAACAGTCTTGCTTCCAACGGAATACTGCTCCTCAATATACTCTGAAATCGCTGCATTGGAAGTCAACTGTTTATTTAAAGACACCTCCATATCTCCTGCAATCGTAATCTTACTACTGGACAAACCAGGCTGAGCAATGCTGGGAGATTTTTCAACGGCAGTTGAATCATAATTGTTTTCCACAAATTTGCCTTCTGTAGCAGGAACAAAATCTTGTATTTTCAAAACAGAAGGGGGAGTTGTCTCGGACCTATCAGTTTCTAGACGTGAGATTTCTTCGATGTTTTCGCTGAAACTTGATGATTTTGTTTTTTCTGTAGCAACATCTGATGGCTTTGTAACCTTGACCGCAGATTTGTCAGAATGTGGCACAGACACCTCAGATAATCGGTGAATTAGTTTCTCTGGGAGCTTCTTCTGTCCTTTCTCATCCACAGGCGAAGCACTGGCATCTATATGGAATAAATTTAAACAAAAATGAATGAAAGCAAACAGTCTGGCAGATCCCCTTGTGGGTTCCGGGGCCCTGTTATAGGGAAAACAAGAACAGACCCACTGCCTACCCAAAAGCATGCTGACTAATTGGGAGCTTTCTTCGAAGTTGGAGTGCATCTGCAAGGAACCAATATTCTGCATACAAATTAGTCAGATCTGTCAAATGGATGCACATATAACACTTCGGTTCTGGAACAGGACTGCAGTCCAGAAGTGGACAAACAACCAGAACTTTCTGCTGGAGTTTACAGCCGGTGAACGCGAAGAAGAAGAAGAAGTCTGGCAGATTGGTTTCTAATTTTTAGTTCTAGTATTTATAATATTCTGTTTTCAGGTGATGCCACTGTTCAAATTTACTGGCTCAGATCCCTGGTGGGTTCTGGGGTCCCATTGTGGGAAAAACAAAAACAGACCCACTGTCTCCCCAACAAGCATGTCGTAAGAGTCGACTCATTTGGGCTTCCTTCAAAGTTGGAGTGCATCTGCCTGAGAGACACGGAACCAACAGTCTGCATAATAGCAAGATCTGTAAAAT